TACAAATGGTAACATGAAATATTTGGACGTGTGTTTGTTCTTGTGATTTTTATCCTTAATAAGTTACTCGTTTTTGGTGGCTTTGCAGGATGAGACACCATCTTCACAATCTACAAGTGTTGTGGATATAAACCTGTCTGGCTCTAATGATCTTGCTAGACAGCCGGCGTCTGAAGTTCCTTTTAGAAGTACCTCTAACAGTGAAAGCAGGTATCTGTTTTTACCTTTTCCCCATGAATGTGCTTAAATGATATATATTTTCTTATTATGCTCTAAATAATTTTCTCCAACAAATTGAAATGATACTGCATGTAGTTAATATGTAACTAATATCAAAATGATTTTCCTGAAAATATTATATTACTGAGCCATTCTTCATTCCTACTCTGGAATAGTTGAAAGTGTAGAATCCAGGACAATTTGCTTGATGATTTTGGAGGAACTAATAATCCTAAAGATTCTGTAGAAAATCAATCAGTAAGTTAAATTCCCTGCACTATTTTAATTCTTCTAGAAGCTGGAATTCACTTAGTTATTGCTTTCAGTCTATTTAATTCTAACATCCATGTTATTAGTTTGAATTTATGTTTATATGAATGCAGTTAACTGAGGATCCTAACTTGTCAATCCCAATGGGTGAGTTCTCTTCTTTCTTTGAATGCTAACTAGATGCTTTCTCCAACAGCCATTGAAAATGTAGTAGAGCCTATTTTCTTGCAAACATTCAGTAAGATAAAATGCAATACATGTGCTTATGGATGGTGACTGCAGAGCAATTTCTAATGCAGGTTCTCAATCATTATTAATTAACAAGACTAACAGCTGCAATAGAGTAGAGCCATCTGCAAACACAACTACTTCTGCTGTGGTGCATGCTTCATCAAAGGCTGGTGAAAACTCAGTCTGAATGAAGTCTCAGAAGACCCTGCATCTAGCAAAGTGCCCGGGAAAGTGCAGTTGGTAGATTCTTGTGGACAAGAAGGTTGTTCTACGTCATCCAATTCAGATCATATTGGTGGTGCTGCTGTTGTCTCAGCTTCCAGTTGTCCTGGCTTATCTCCAAGCTCATCAGGGGGTTCATTACCCTCTGAAAAGTCAACCCTAAATCTCCATGCAAAGGTATGATGATACTAATTTTTGTATGTTCGTCTTGCAGCAGCTGATTTCAAGATAAACATGCACACTTTGTCATCAATGTTTTTACTTGTTTTGTTGCTTTACTCAATGGCCTCCTAACATGTCTACTACATGTTAAATGGCTATCAGGAACTCAAACTCAATCCTAACGCAAAGAGTTTCACCCCATCACAAGCAACCGTTTGGCCTCCATCACCTGTATCAGATGGTTCCTTCTATCATCCACCCAGTCTGTCTCCTGTAACGCATATGCATGGCATACCTGTTGGTTTTGGGGTAAGTGTTTCTATAGGAGTATACAACTAGATTGTCGCAATACCATTTTTTCCCCCTCATTTTTTTTATTGGATATATAATTCTGTAAGTCAGTGAGCCATGCTTGTGGATTGAGCTTTTATTTAATTTAAAAATATTTTCCTGATAATTTTAGAAAATCATCTTTTTTGAGGTACACTTTGGTGGTGACATTTTAGGTCAATTGCTGCTGCTTTTTCTTGTGTGACAGTTGTTCTCGATATTGTTAGTTTCTTCCGTAGCACATCTTTCTGCATTTGATACTATTTCAAGTGGCATCCATGCTTTGTCTTTTGGAAGTTGGTGCCACCTACCTTTGTTGCTGTGATTCTATAATGGGTCCTGTTTGCCCCCTCTAGACTACGCTACTGGTGAACTAAGCACGCCATATATGAAATATAAGATGCCCTTTACTGTACCATTTACATTTAATAATGTAGTTAAATGGCACTTGGGCTTTCGGTCTAGTTAGGTCTAGTTAGGTCATGTATAAGTGCATTTTCCCTCCCCAAGGCAACGATTCGAATTCGACCTCTCGTGAATCTGTTCAAAAATAATAATAATAATAATGTAGTTAAATGGCTGTCTGTCAATTGAGGTTGATTAGACCCTTTTTAACTAAATATTTAACAATATTTTATATAAATATTTTTCATACTATATTTTATTTAAAATATAGGTTTATTTTTAAATTAATTTTAATTAACTTTTTATATATTT